AAGTGAAACTACCGGTAACAAAGAGAATACCAATGGAGTTGCTTATACTAATATGAATGGATCATTAGATCCAGCCGGTGATGGTAATAGTAAGATCGATGTTGTCGATAGCAATGCAGTCAATAAAGCTGATTCAGAAAGTCAAAGCCGTGGCGAGGAGGTTAACGGAAGTAACAGTGTGGAGAATGTAAAAAGCAACGAGAATAATGTTAACGAGGGAGGTCCGGTTTATCTTGGTGTTGTTTGGGCTAAAGGGTGGACGCAAGAATGGTGGGCGTGGACCGAATACCGGATGAAGTTGGATGCCCTCCAATAATATAAAAGTTGGTAGCCGTTGGGAGGTAGCTTCAAAAAATCTCATTGATCATACATGCACACATCTATATTTAATCTTACTATTGTTTATAACACAACTTTTTGATATATTCATGACCTTAGTTTAGTTGCAATAGTTGATTGTTTGGATCTCGTAATTTCGATTGTTTAAGTAGTTTTCTATTCCATTCATGTGACCTCTTTGAATGACGCTTTTTAAAGTGATCGCAAAAAAAAAAAAAGGAAGAAAACAAAAATTATTGATCGATTACATTGGGGATCGAATGGAATTAGAGTTGCAGTTTCTAGACAATTTGGATGAAAACAAGCTCATTTTCTTTTTTTTTGGCACAAGTCTTCACAATAAAAAATTCAAGGTAATCATTAACTAACTAATTAATTATAAAAAAAAAGTGTGGAACTTTAATGTAGAATTTATTTTATTTGAGTAATTAATCGAATCAGGCTTATGAGATTTCCATTAAAATCAAATGACCTTTACTTTCTTGGCGGTCCATAAACGCCAAGAGTGACCGAATATTAGAGAATTTACCACCCATAATATCCAAGTCATGGCATCCCTTTCTCCCCTCCTTGCCAACACGACTACAACCAATAAAGCTTCGAACACATGGAGAATCATGATTCCAATAAGAATATAGTGAAAAGTTAACTGACCAAACGTTAACCTAAAGGATTCAATGTATCCGGGCATCGGAGAAGGGGAGTATGCATTAAAATAGAAGAAACCGTAAACCAAGAAAAGAAAGATATAAATTGATAATTGAGGTGGATTGAAAGGTGTATGTAAAGATGAGGCGCGTGCCGATGAAGAGTCCGACGAAATGGTTGGGGGACGAGTACTCGGCTGATTTGGTAAATCCACACGTTTTTCAGCAAAATTTATATGCGACAAAAAAAAATAAGGGACCTTTTAAAAAAAATTCTTGAAATTAAATTAAACAGACAAGAAATACAACAGTATAATACCAAATTCAAAGCAGTCTCCGCTTCTCGAGCCATTTCAACCAGTACCGGTCTAACTTGTTGATAATCATTTAGACGTTCTTTGAAAACGACATGAACTTCGGATTCTACTCCGTCCGCATTCTTTGCAATCACAACAAAGCCATTTGAATCGATGTCAGTCATTCGGGCACTCACGGCGTCATTGGAATTTCCAAAGTACTTTGCATACCCCAGAATAGTTTCAGGGCGAGTATTCATATAGGAAACTAGGCGTTCCGCATGTGGGGTGATAGGATCTGTCCGTGGTCGACTCGTTCGCATTTCAGAATGAAAAATATTTTATGATAACTCATTGGTAGCAACGAGAATTGGGCGAGCTATTGAAGGATAAGTTTTGATTTCTCACACCAGAACCAGTAGAAATTTGCCACGTGAAAGTCACGATTTTGAAATCGCTGATCGCATAAAATTCAAAAAGATTTTT